TGTTTGATGCATATACACTTCATTTGATTCATTAACATATTTAACAGGACTAACACGATGGGTCTCACACGTGGAGCAGAAATTGGCTAGACTTCCGGAGCACATAAGTTCACAGGACTAACACGATTGGTCTCACACGTGGAGCAGAAATTGGCCTTCCGGAGCACATAATTTCACAGAACTTACACGATAGGTCTCACACGAGGAGCAGAAATTGACTAAACTTCCAGAGCACATAAGTTCACTGGACTAACACGATGGGTCTCACACGTGGAGCAGAACTTGGTTAGACTTCCGGAGCATATAAGTGCACAGGACTAACACGATGGGACTCACACGTGGAGCAGAACTTTGCTAGACTTCCGGAGCACATAGGTTCACAGGACTAACACGATGGGTCTCACACGTGGAGCAGATATTGGCTAGACCTTCGGAGCATATTATTGCACAGGACTAACACGATGGGTCTCACACGTGGAGCAGAAATTGTCCAGTCTTCTGGAGCATATGAGTTCACAGGACTAAAACGATGAGTCTCACAAGTGGAGCAGAAATTGGCCTTCCGGAGCACATAAGTTCACAGGACTAACACGATGGGTCTCACACGTGGAGCAGAAATTGGTTAGACTTCCGGAGCATATAAGTGCACAGGACTAACACGATGGGTCTCACACTGGAGCAGAAATTGTCCAGTCTTCTGGAGCATATAAGTGGACAGGACAAACACGATGGGTCTCACACGTGGAGCAGAAATTGTCCAGTCTTCTGGAGCATATAAGTGCATCCCCGGTTTTTGATTATTTTCCGTTGCTCCATCTTAAGTTTTCATTTAAGTGTTTTATGACTCTTGTTTGTCTTAAGTGTTGATGGTAATTTTTAATCGACTTACGTTTTTTTTATTTGTCGACTCGGTATCTTTTCCCTTTTCTGAATTAGAGCTTGACATATTGTATAGACTCCTGTCTATTGTAGATGACATATTGTATAGACTCCTGTCTATTGTAGATGACATATTGTATAGACTCCGGTCTATTGTAGATGACATATTGTATAGACTCCGGTCTATTGTAGATGACATATCGTATAGACTCCGGTCTATTGTAGATGACATGTTGTATATAGACTCCAGTCTATTGTAGATGACATATTGTATAGACTCCTGTCTATTGTAGATGACATATGGTATAGACTCCTGTCTGTTGTAGATGAAATATTGTATAGACTCCGGTCTATTGTAGATGACATATTGTATAGACTCCTGTCTATTGCAGATGACATATTGTATAGACTCCGGTCTATTGTAGATGACATATTGTATAGACTCCTGTCTATTGTAGATGACATATCGTATAGACTCCGGTCTATTGTAGATGACATATCGTATGGACTCCTGTCTATTGTAGATGACATATTGTATAGACTCCGGTCTATTGTAGTTGACATATTGTATAGACTCCTGTCTATTGTAGATGACATATTGTATAGACTCCGGTCTATTGTAGATGACATATTGTATAGACTCCTTTCTATTGTAGATGACATATTGTATAGACTCCTGTCTATTGTAAATGACAAATTGTATAGACTCCTGTCTATTGTAAATTACATGTTGTAAAGACTCCGTTCTGTTGTAAATGACATATTGTATAGACTCCTGTCTATTGTAGATGACATATTGTATAGACTCCGGTCTATTGTAGTTGACATATTGTATAGACTCCTGTCTATTGTAGATGACATATTGTATAGACTCCGGTCTATTGTAGATGACATATTGTATAGACTCCTTTCTATTGTAGATGACATATTGTATAGACTCCTGTCTATTGTAAATGACAAATTGTATAGACTCCTGTCTATTGTAAATTACATGTTGTAAAGACTCCGTTCTGTTGTAAATGACATATTGTATAGACTCCTGTCTATTGTAGATGACATATTGTTTAGACTCCTGTCTATTGAAGATGACATATTGTATAGACTCCTGTCTATTGTAGATGACATATTGTATAGACTCCTGTCTATTGTAGATGACATATTGTATAGACTCCTGTCTATTGTAAATGACATACTGTATAGACTCCTGTCTATTGTAGATGACATATTGTATAGACTCCTGTCTATTGTAGATGACATATTGTATAGACTCCGGTCTATTGTAAATGACATACACTATAGACCCCTGTCTATTGTAGATGACATATTGTATAGACTCCTGTCTATTGTAGATGACATACTGTATAGACTCCGTTCTGTTGTAAATTACATATTGTATAGACTCCTGTCTATTGTAAATGACTGCATTGATTGAATGATTGGTGTTTATCGCCATTTTCAGGACTATTGTGCTATTTCGTGGCAGTCAGTTTTTATTTGTGGAGGAAGCCGGAGTGCCCGGAGAGAACCATATAGATGTAGATGTAGATGACATATGGTATAGACTCCTGTCTGTTGTAGATGACATATTGTATAGACTCCGGTCTATTGTAGATGACATATTGTATATACTCCTGTCTATTGCAGATGACATTTTGTATATACTCCTGTCTATTGTAGATGACATATTGTATAAACTCCAGTCTATTGTAGATGACATATTGTATAGACTCCGGACTATTGTAGATGACATATTGTATAGACTCCTGTCTATTGTAGATGACATATCGTATAGACTCCGGTCTATTGTAGATGACATATCGTATAGACTCCTTTCTATTGTAGATGACATATTGTATAGACTCCGGTCTATTGTAGATGACATATTGTATAGACTCCGGTCTATTGTAGATGACATGTTGTATATAGACTTCAGTCTATTGTAGATGACATATTGTATAGACTCCTGTCTATTGTAGATGACATATGGTATAGACTCCTGTCTATCGTAGATGACATATTGTATAGACTCCTGTCTGTTGTAGATGACATATTGTATAGACTCCGGTCTATTGTAGATGACATATTGTATAGACTCCTTTCTATTGTAGATGACATATTGTATAGACTCCTTTCTATTGTAGATGACATATTGTATAGACTCCTGTCTATTGTAAATGACAAATTGTATAGACTCCTGTCTATTGTAAATTACATATTGTAAAGACTCCGTTCTGTTGTAAATGACATATTGTATAGACTCCTGTCTATTGTAGATGACATATTGTTTAGACTCCTGTCTATTGTAGATGACATATTGTATAGACTCCTGTCTATTGTAGATGACATATTGTATAGACTCCTGTCTATTGTAGATGACATATTGTATAGACTCCGGTCTGTAAATGACATACTGTATAGACTCCTGTTTATTGTAGATGACATATTGTATAGACTCCTGTCTATTGTAGATGACATATTGTATAGACTCCGTTCTGTTGTAAATTACATATTGTATAGACTCCTGTCTATTGTAAATGACTGCATTGATTGAATGATTGGTGTTTATCGCCATTTTCAGGACTATTGTGCTATTTCGTGGCAGTCAGTTTTTATTTGTGGAGGAAGCCGGAGTGCCCGGAGAGAACCATATAGATGTAGATGTAGATGACATATGGTATAGACTCCTGTCTGTTGTAGATGACATATTGTATAGACTCCGGTCTATTGTAGATGACATATTGTATATACTCCTGTCTATTGCAGATGACATATTGTATATACTCCTGTCTATTGTAGATGACATATTGTATAGACTCCGGTCTATTGTTGATGACATATTGTATAGACTCCGGTCTATTGTAGATGACATATTGTATAGACTCCTGTCTATTGTAGATGACATATCGTATAGACTCCGGTCTATTGTAGATGACATATCGTATAGACTCTTTTCTATTGTAGATGACATATTGTATAGACTCCGGTCTATTGTAGATGACATATTGTATAGACTCCGGTCTATTGTAGATGACATATTGTATAGACTCCGGTCTATTGTAGATGACATGTTGTATATAGACTTCAGTCTATTGTAGATGACATATTGTATAGACTCCTGTCTATTGTAGATGACTTATGGTATAGACTCCTGTCTATTGTAGATGACATATTGTATAGACTCCTGTCTGTTGTAGATGACATATTGTATAGACTCCGGTCTATTGTAGATGACATATTGTATAGACTCCGGTCTATTGTAGATGACATATTGTATAGACTCCTTTCTATTGTAGATGACATATTGTATAGACTCCTGTCTATTGTAAATGACAAATTGTATAGACTCCTGTCTATTGTAAGTTACATATTGTAAAGACTCCGTTCTGTTGTAAATGACATATTGTATAGACTCCTGTCTATTGTAGATGACATATTGTTTAGACTCCTGTCTATTGTAGATGATATATTGTATAGACTCCTGTCTATTGTAGATGACATATTGTATAGACTCCTGTCTATTGTAGATGACATATTGTATAGACTCCGGTCTATTGTAAATGACATACTGTATAGACTCCTGTCTATTGTAGATGACATATTGTATAGACTCCTGTCTATTGTAGATGACATATTGTATAGACTCCGTTCTGTTGTAAATTACATATTGTATAGACTCCTGTCTATTGTAGATGACTGCATTGATTGAATGATTGGTGTTTATCGCCATTTTCAGGACTATTGTGCTATTTCGTGGCAGTCAGTTTTTCTTTGTGGAGGAAGCCGGAGTGCCCGGAGAGAACCACCGACCTTCGGTAGGAAAACTGTCAACCCTACTCAATTTAGATTGGAGTCGAACGCACCTGCCACGTGCTCGGGATTCGTACTCACAACCTCAGTGTTGACAGGCTAGTGATACAGTAGTTCGACTTCTTAGATCACTAGACCACCAAGGCCCCTTGTAAATGACTACAAGTTGTCCGTTAGGTTTCGTTCGGTTTCTTGTGCTGTCGGATTGCTGTCTCATTGACGTTTTCCCTATATCTCTTTTAAATCATATTAATATTACATTCATGAACATAATTCCCTTGAAATGTTTAAACTTTTATATTTTTATATAATAGGACAAGATGCTTTGCCTATATTGGTTAACATGTTTGATACGAATGTGAAAATTACCTGTACAAGGCACAAAAATCAGGTAGGTATTAATTTTATCAATCTCTATAAAGGCAGTCAAATCAGATAGGTATTAATTCAATTACTCTCTATAAACGCAGACAAATCAGATAGTTATTAATTCCGTTACTTTCTATAAAGGCAGCCAAATCAGAAATGTATTAATTCAGTTACTCTCTACAAAGGCAGACAAATCAGATAGGTATTTCTTGTATACGCATTATTAATCTTTCCTTCACATAAGTACATGAAACCTCAGGCAATACTTGAAATGCGCATCTGGTGCAGTAAAACTGGTACCTTTAATATTAATACTACCACTGGATCGATACATTTACTGGTGGACTGTTAGTCCCCTATGGTATAATTCGTCCGATAGCCAGTACATTGATATTGGCATGAAATACGGATATTATTTTATATAAACTTGCTGTTGGAGATAATTTTGAATCAAAGAATGTATCTCCCTAAGTCATAGCTCTGAATCCTTGTCCGGGTTTGGATTTACTTTTGGCTCGTTTGGTTTTATTCAACGTTTGTATTAGGTATTGCATTTTCCGATCATTACTGAAGAGACATTAACTGTAGGAATGCTCAATTGGTGCAGAAAAAATAGTACCGTTAATAGTATTGAAAACAGAGGCTTCAATAGAAAATAAATGCAAAATTTATGGAAATAAATATTGTGGAAAAAGTAACTCTCTGAACAAAAGATCAAAAGTTGCATAATTGAAAGTATTTTGTTTGGTCACTGAACGGACACAAAACTATTGCTCACATTGATTGTTATTAAAGATGTCTTGTACATTTTTTACTTTTTCAAATTTTGACTAACTGCGTTCTGATTTTGGTATGTCCACAAATTTAAAGGACAACTGTGTCATTAGTACTATATATGTTCGGGAACAGATGGGATATTTTCTAAAATATGTATAAGATTAACACAAAGAGATAATATATTAACGATGCTCTCATTAAATGCAACGTTCAGTTTAAGATTTTCAGAAGACTTTCGGGTTCACTGTTCTTTGCTAAGTCCCAAAAGGTTCCATTTTCAAATATTTCCTTTACATGTTTAAAAATGTAGATATAAGAAAAAGTGGTATGAGTGCCAATGAGACAACTCTTCATTCAAGTCAAAATTTATAAAAGTAAACCATTATAGGTCAAAGTACGGTCTTCAACACGGAGCCTTGGCTCACACCGAACAGCAAGCTATAAAGGACCCCAAAAACTACTAGTGTACAACCATTCAAATGGGAAAACCAACGGTCTAATCTATATAAAAAAAACGAGAAACGAGAAACACTTATGAACCACATCAACAAACGACAACTACTGAACATCAGATTCCTGACTGTGTCTGTTCTCTTTTGGGTTTTATTTGAATTTGGATATATGGAGGTTTTGATTGGTTATCTGAGTGGGTCTGTCTATTGGTTGGTTTTGATTGGTTATCTAAGTGGGTCTGTCTATTGGTTGGTTTTGATTGGTTATCTGAGAGGGTCTGTCTATTGGTAGGTTTTGATTGGTTATCTGAGTGGGTCTGTCTATTGGTAGGTTGTGATTGGTTATCTGAGTGAGTCTGTCTATTGGTTGGTTGTGATTGGTTATCTGAGTGGGTCTGTCTATTGGTTAGTTTTGATTGGTTATCTGAGTGGGTCTGTCTATTGGTTGGTTTTGATTGGTTATCTGAGAGGGTCTGTCTATTGGTTGGTTTTGATTGGTTATCTGAGTGGGTCTGTCTATTGGTTGGTTTTGATTGGTTATCTTAGTAGGTCTGTCTATTGTTAAGGTTTAATTGGTTATCTGAGTGGGTCTGTCTATTGGTAGGTTTTTATTGGTTATCTAAGTGGGTCTGTCTATTGGTTGGTTTTGATTGGTTATCTAAGTGCGTCTGTCTATTGGTTCGTTTTGATTGGTTATCTGAGTGGGTCTGTCTATTGGTAGGTTTTGATTGGTTATCTAAGTGCGTCTGTCTATTGGTTGGTTTTAATTGGTTATCTGAGTGGGTCTGTCTATTGTTAAGGTTTGATTGGTTATCTAAGTGGGTCTGTCTATTGGTTGGTTTTGATTGGTTATCTGAGTGGGTCTGTCTATTGTTAAGGTTTGATTGGTTATCTAAGTGGGTCTGTCTGTCTATTGGTTGGTTTTGATTGGTTATCTAAGTGCGTCTGTCTATTGGTTGGTTTTGATTGGTTATCTGAGAGGGTCTGTCTATTGGTTGGTTTTGATTGGTTATCTGAGAGGGTCTGTCTATTGGTTGGTTTTGATTGGTTATCTGAGTGGGTCTGTCTATATAAACACTCGTATTATATGATGACAATAATGATGAGTCCAAGTATGACTATACGAAGATTTCAATTGTTAACCCGAGATGTAATGTCTTTCCAAGGCTTTAATCTTTGGCACGTAAACCATATGAAGTCATAGTTAAGCATCTGGCATTATATGTAAATACCAGACGGTTTTGGTTTTGTGTTAGCTTCAGAATCTTATTTGACAATAACATAGTTTTGAATTTTACTAAATAAGCTGTAGTAAACAAATTTCCAGAGCGAAAAATCCAAAATGTTTCAGGATGGTTTCCGGTCGAGCATAGGACAAAAGTATTGTTCATGCTCAGTATTCATCGACAGACAATTGTTTGTCTCATTCCTAATGTACACCGACAGACAATTGTTTGTCTCGTCCCTAATGTATACCGACAGACAATTGTTGGTCTCGTCCCTAATGTACACCGAAATTGTTTGTCTCGTCTCTAATGTACACCGACAGACAATTGTTTGTCTCGTCCCTAATGTACACCGACAGACAATTGTTTGTTTCGACCCTAATGTACACCGACAGACAATTGTTGGTCTCGTCCCTAATGTACACCGACAGACAATTGTTGGTCTCGTCCCTAATGTACACCGACAGACAATTGTTTGTCTCGTCCCTAATGTACACCGACAGACAATTGTTTGTCTCGTCTCTAATGTACACCGACATACAATTGTTTGTCTCGTCTCTAATGAATACCGACAGACAATTTTTGGCTCGTCACTAAAGTACACCGACAGACAATTGTTTGTCTCGTCCCTAATGTACACCGACACACGAATGTTTGTCTCGTCCCTTAAGTACACCGACAGACAATTGTTTGTCTCGTCCCTAATGTACACCGACAGACAATAGTTTGTCTCAACCCTAGTCGGAGGTTGTCTTCCTCGACAGGAAATTTTGGCAAAACAACTTAATTTTCTTTTATCAATAGGTAAATATATGAGATGTATAATAATGAACATTTGTATTACAGGTTGACGAAGACATTGTTTGGAGATATGGCGATGATCCTATTTCATTTGGTATAACATTAATTAATAGTAATGGCAACTACCTGGTTAACAGAAATGCTTATAAGGAAATACAATTGACAATTAAAAAAATTTCAGCTGGCACTCTCGGAACATATTCCTGCATTAATAGAAAATTGAATAAAAACATAAAGACTGTTGAGTTAAAGATTATAGGTAAATATATAAACTAACATCCCCTGTTACATTATGTCTATTGAATTTGGCATGTACACTGCAATCCATGCTATTTGTCTATTGAGTTTGGCATGTACACTGCAATCCATGCTATTTGTCTATTGAGTTTGGCATGTACACTGCAATCCATGCTATTTGTCTATTGAGTTTGGCATGTACACTGCAATCCATGCTATTTGTCTATTGAGTTTGCCATGTACACTGCAATCCATGCTATTTGTCTATTGAGTTTAGCATGTACACTGCAATCCATGCTATAGATTTTACAAATAATATGTGTTGTGTAAAGATGTTAATATCAGTGAAAATACACCTACTTCATGTAATTGCAGTAATTCCGAATACATTTATGGACCCATTTCCCATGTTATAACAGGAGATCTTAACATCGTTCAAGACCGAGAGTTAAAATCATTCCTCAGTAAAGGACCTAAATATCGTCCCCCGTCAATTATTAATTGGAATGAGTGTCGTAATATCATCCACGACTCACTCCATACTTACTGTTTGAAATGGATAAAACGGGAAAAAGCTGACAAAAAATCTTTGGACTCTTTTTTTAAATCAGTAATGAACATAGTTGATATACGTATTCAACATTTTAAAGAACATTTTACTCTTAACAATAACCACAATAAACCTATTTCTCGTATCAAACATAAACTAAAAGAACTAGCCAAAGAATGTGTTTTTGTCCCGGCCGATAAAGCTGCTAATAATATTGTTATTGTTTGACGTAAATTTTACATTGAGGTTCTGAAAAAAGAAATCACCAATTCACCAACATTCCAACTGACTCCATTTCCAGAAAACGACATCTGTAACAAACATAAACTTTTAGCTACCGCTTTACAAGCAGAACCAAATACAATGAAAGTCCCAACTATGTATTGGCTTCCGAAGCTACACAAAACACCTTACAAATATAGATTCATTTCGTCTTCAAGCCATTGTTCCACAACTAAATTGTCTATTCTTCTTACCAGTACATTTGGTACAATCAAAAACCTGATAATAAATTGTTCAAATAAGGCCTTCGAAAATAGTGGAATTAATTACTTTTGGAGTGTCAAGAACTCGTTGGAAGTACTTGATAAATTGCATGCATATATTGGTGATTTTGAATCTGTTCAAAGTTTTGAATTCTCTACCCTATATACCACATTTGCTCACATTCTCATTAAGAAAAAATTCACACACCTAATTAAATGGGCATTTAAAAAGTCAGAATGTGAATATATATGTTCAAACTCTTTTAGGTCATTTTTTAGTAGCAATAAACAAAAAAACTATGTCAATTGGACATGCTTTGATACTATATATGCCCTTGAATTTTTACTAGATAACATTTTTGTTCGCTTTGGAGATTCCGTATATCGTCAGGTTATCGGAATTCCAATGGGGACTAACTGTGCACCACTTATTGCGGACCTTTTTTTTTGTATTGCTATGAGTTACAATTTATGACAAAAATCAGTAAAGACCCATCGAAACAACATCTGATACACAAATTTAATAATACTTTTAGATATTTGGATGATATTTTGGCTCTCAATAATGACGACTTCAGTATGTATACTAAAGAAATTTATCCTGTTGAACTTACTTTAAATAAAGCTAATACTAACAATGACCACTGCCCTTTCCTCGATCTTGATATCTATATCATTAACGGAAAGCTTAATACTAAAATATATGATAAAAGAGATGATTTTTCATTTCCTATCGTTAATTATCCATTTTTAGATGGTGACGTTCCCTTGTCACCATCTTACGGTGTTTATATATCTCAACTTGTACGATTCGCTCGTGTATGTAACAATGTTTTAGATTTTAACGAGAGAAATTTATGTATTACTGAAAAATTATTACACCAGGGTTTTCGATATCACAAACTAGTCAAAACATTTACTAAATTTTATCATCGGTATAAGGACATCATTCGTAAATATAGCTCAACATGCAGACTTCTTATACGTTCAGGTATTTCACATCCAATTTTTTATGGAAATATTCTTTATAAAGCACAAAAATGTCAGTATTCACCTCTGAAACTAACAAAACCTTTAAATAGACTTATTAAGAAGGGATATAGTTACGATACTGTTGTCAGGTCATTAAAGATTGCATATTTTGGCGTTAATATTGATTCACTTATAGGGTCTTTGCATCGGCACTAAACACATTTATTTAAAAACCAGTTGTTGGCATGACACGGGTTATGTTCTTCTCATATATGTTATGATGGTATGATACTAAACCCCTAACGGGAAGGATTGTGCCTGATATTCATATGATGAAGACATAATCTTTCAATCAGTTTAATTGAAGTCTGAAGCTGGCATGTCAGTTAACTGCTAGTAGTCTGTTGTTATTTATGTATTATTGTCATTTTGTTTATTTTCTTTGGTTACATCTTCTGACATCAGACTCGGAATTCTCTTGAACTGAATTTTAATGTGCGTATTGTCATGCGTTTACTTTTCTACATTGGCTAGAGGTATAGGGGGAGGGTTGAGATCTCATAAACATGTTTAACCCCGCCGCATTTTTGCGCCTGTCCCAAGTCAGGAGCCTCTAGCCTTTGTTAGTCTTGTATTATTTTTAATTTTAGTTTCTTGTGTACAATTTGGAGTTTAGTATGGCGTTCATTATCACTGAACTAGTATATATATTTGTTTAGGGGCCAGCTGAAGGACGCCTCCGGGTGCGGGAATTTCTCGCTGCATTGAAGACCTGTTGGTGACTTTCTGCTGTTGTCTGTTCTATGGTCGGGTTGTTGTCTCTTTGACACATTCCCCATTTCCATTCTCAATTTTATTCTGTATGATTGATAATTTTGTATTTACCGTAGAATATGAAAGATTAATATTTTCAGTTTCAGTCTGTTAGAATAATATCTTCTGTATCTTTAAAATTGATATTTTCAGTATCTGGAAGAATAATATTTTAAGTATCTGTTTTCAGTATGTGTAAGAATGATATTTCTGTATCTGCAAGACTGATATTTCTGAATCTGTCAGATTGATATTTCTAGTATCTGCAAGATTGATATTGTATTCATAAGACTGACACATATAAAACACGCTGACAGAAGACTAACATACTTGTTTTCTTTATATATATAATTATATATAACAGTTTTTATTATCCAAAATCAAATTCAAATTTAAAATAAAAGGCAAAATTTTATTTCAACATTTCATCTTATGTCATTATCTTAAATATGGGAAATAAATTTCAATGGTATAATGTACGAAACACCGCAAAACTATCCAAAAGATATGCAATATCTATAACATATATACTAGATATATCTTGACAAAATATGATTCAGAACCCTGACAGAGCAAATATTTACCTACTCTTATTATCAGGACCCTCAGACAGGGCGATTAACGGTACCAACTGTTATTATGAGGACCATCGGACAGAGCGAACAGTGGTACCGACTGTTATTGTGAGGACCCTCAGACAGAGTGAAAAATGGTACCGGGTCTTATTATGAGGACCCTCAGACATGGCGAACAATGGTACCGACTGTTATTATCAGGACACTTACACATGACGAACAATGGTACCGACTGTTATAATCAGGACACTTAGACATGTCGAACAATGGTATCGACTGTTATTATTAGAACACTTAGACATGTCGAACAGTGGTACCGACTGTAATTATCATGACACTTAGACATGTCGAACAATGATACCGACTGTTAATATTAGAACACTTAGGCATGTCGAACAGTGGTACCGACTGCTATTATCAGGACACTTACTTATGGCGAACAATGGCACCGTCTGTTAATATTAGGACATTTAGACATGTCGAAGAATGGTACCGACTGTAAATATTAGGACATTAGACATGGCGAACAATGGTACCGACTGTTATTATCAAGACACTTAAACATGTCGAACAATGGTACCGACTGTTATTATCAGGACACTTACATATAGCAAACAATGGTACCGACTTTTATTATCAGGACACTTACACATGTCGAACAATGGTACCGACTGTTATTATCAGGACACTTACACATAGCAAACAATGGTACCGACTGTTATTATCAGGACACTTACACATAACAAACAATGGTATCGACTGTTAGTATCAGGACACTTACACATGGCGAACAATGGCACCGACTGTTTATTTTAGGACACTTACACATGGCGAACAATGGTACCGACTGCTATTATCAAAACCCTTTGACAGAGCGAAAAGTTTTCAGACAGAGCACATAATTTTAACATTTGAACTTTTTGCGTCCCAAAATATTTATATCTTGAACAAACGAAAATATTCTCAGTTGTTTTAATCTGACAGTTCTAATCTGACAGTTCTAATCTAACAGTTTTAATCTGACAGTTTGATCTTCTAATTCTCACAGAGAAGCCAAGTATTGTGAACCATGCAAATACAACGCTGATGATTCCAGAGGGAAGTAATGCTACATTGTGGTGCAAGGTAGAGTCAGCCATTGATTACAAGATAGACTGGTTTCTTCATGATAATAAATTAGATCTACCTGTCGGTGAGAGTCAAACAATTACAAAATATACATTTACCAAATATTAATAACAAAAATATATCAGCTAATTCATATCATATTACAAAAAATATATCATCACCTAGAAAATTTAACAAATAAGTCTACTAAAAATGGCTAGATTGTATTGTTAATCCATATCAAGAGTTTCTTTGCAAGTATTATCACCATAAATAAACAAATCGTTTTGAACATTTGACTCCATTTATAGAGAGAATGGAGAATAAAGTCATATAAATGAACTATGGTTAACTCGATTTCCTTTTGTGAAAGTGTGGTGGTATCAGCACATAAACAATACCTTTCTTTTGTAAAAGTGTGGTGGTATCTGCACTTTCGAGATATCTTTCTTTTGAACAAGTGTGAAGGTATCTGCTCATAAATCATACCTTACTTTTGTAAAAGTGTGAGGGAATCTACACATAAGCCATACCATCCTTTGGAAAAAGTGTGAGGGTATCTACACATAAACCATGCCTTGCTTTTGTAAAACTGACTCTGTGAGGGTATATCTGCACATGAACCATACATTGCTTTTGTAAAAGTGTGAGGAAAGTTTCACATAACCAATACCTTGGTTATGTAAAAGTGTGGGAGTAAATCTGTGTACCTACACATAAGCCACACCTTTCTTTTGTGTAAAAGTGAGAGTATGTAAACATAAACCATACTTTTTTTTTGTAAAAGTGAGAGAGTATGTAAACATAAACCATACCTTGCTTTTGTAAAAGTGTTGTGATATCTGCACATAAGCCACACCTTTCTTTTGTAATAGTGTGAAAGCATCTACACATAAACCATACCTTTTTTTTGTAAAAGTGAGAGAGAATATAAACTTAAACCATATCTTGCTTTTGTGAAAGTGTGTTGGTATCTGCACAGAAGCCACATTTTTCTTTTGTGATAGATTGAGAGTATCTTCACACAAATCATACCTTAATTTGGAATTTTCAATTAACTAGCTACATAACATAACCTTTCTGGTAACAAAAATAAGTGACACACTTCAGATGGACATGGAAAACAATTGTAAACAAATCATAACATAGACAACTGAAAATCTTAAGTCGACAATACATGTACTCTGTATAATTCAAATAAGGGAAACTAAAACAATATATATACTCTGCATATACGATGTAAGTGTGGTGAAAACAATATATGTACTACGAATACACCATTTAAGTCTGGTGAAAACAATACATGTACTCCGAATACACCATGTAAGTGTGAAGAAAACAATGCATGTACTCTCAATACACCATGTAAGTGTGAAGAAAACAATACATGTACTCTGAATGCACCATACAAGTGTAATGAAAACGATAAATGTACTCTGAATACACCATGTAGGTGTGATGAAAACAGTACCGGTACTCCGAGTACACCATGTAAGTGTGAATAAAACAATACATGTACTCTGAATACACCATATTAGTGTGACGAAAGTACATGTACTCTGAATGCACCATGCAAGTGTAATGAAAACGATAAATGTACTCTGAATACACCATGTAGGTGTGATGAAAACAGTACCTGTACTTTGAATACATCATGTAAGTGTGATGGAAACAATACATTTACTCAGAATACACCATGTATGTGTGAGGAAAACAACACATGTACTCTGAATACACCATAACAGTGTGAGCAAAGCAATACATATACTTAGAATATACCATGTAAGTGTGAGGAAACAATACATGTACTCTGAATACACCATGTAAGTGTGAGGAAACAATACATGTACTCTGAATACATCATTTTAGTGTGAGGAAACAATACGTGTACTCATAATACACCATGTAAGTGTGAGGAAACAATACATGTACTCATAATTCACCATAAAAGTGTGAGGAAAACAATACATGTACTCTGAATACATCATGTAAGTGTGAGAAAAACAATACATGTACTCCGAATACACCATGTAAGTGTGAGGAAAACAATACATGTACTCTGAATACATCATGTAAGTGTGAGAAAAACAATACATGTACTCCGAATACACCATGTAAGTGTGAGGAAACAATACATGTACTCTGAATACATCATGTAGGTGTGAGGAAACAATACATGTACTCTGAATACATCATGTAAGTGTGAGGAAAACAATACATGTACTCTGAATACACCATGTAAGTGTGAGAAAACAATACATGTACTCTGAATCCATCATGTAGGTGTGAGGAAAACAATACATGTACTCTGAATACACCATGTAAGTGTGAGGAAACAATACATGTACTCTGAATACATCATGTAACTGTGAGGAAAACAACACATGTACTCTGAATACACCATGTAAGTGTGAGGAAACAATACATGTACTCTGAATACACCATGTAAGTGTGAGGAAAACAATACATGTACCTGTTGGTGACCTTCTGTTGTTGTCTGTTCTATGGTCGGGTTGTTGTCTCTTTGACACATTCCCCATTTCCATTCTCAATTTTATGTACTCTGAATACATTATGTAAGTGTGGAAACAATACATGTACTCTGAATACATCATGTAAGTGTGAAGAAAACAATACATGTACTCATAATACACCATGTAAGTGTGAGGAAACAATACATGTACTCTGAATACATCATGTAAGTGTGAGGAAAACAATACATGTACTCGTAATACACCATGTAAGTGTGAGGAAACAATACATGTACTCATAATACACCATGTAAGTGTGAGGAAACAATACATGTACTATGAATACATCATGCAAGTGTGAGGAAAACAATACATGTACTCTGAATACACCATGTAAGTGTGAGGAAACAATACATGTACTCTGAATCCATCATGTAGGTGTGAGGAAAACAATACATGTACTCTGAATACACCATGTAAGTGTGAGGAAACAATACATGTACTCTGAATACATCATGTAACTGTGAGGAAAACAACACATGTACTCTGAATACACCATGTAAGTGTGAGGAAACAATACATGTACTCTGAATACACCATGTAAGTGTGAGGAAAACAATACATGTACCTGTTGGTGACCTTCTGTTGTTGTCTGTTCTATGGTCGGGTTGTTGTCTCTTTGACACATTCCCCATTTCCATTCTCAATTTTATGTACTCTGAATACATTATGTAAGTGTGGAAACAATACATGTACTCTGAATACATCATGTTAGTGTGAAGAAAACAATACATGTACTCATAATACACCATGTAAGTGTGAGGAAACAATACATGTACTCTGAATACATCATGTAAGTGTGAGGAAAACAATACATGTACTCTGAATACACCTACACCATGTAAGTGTGAGGAAACAATACATGTACTCTGAATACACCATGTAAGTGTGAGGAAACAATCCATGTACTCTGAATACATCATGTAAGTGTGAGGAAAACAATACATGTACTCTGAATACACCTACACCATGTAAGTGTGAGGAAACAATACATGTACTCTGAATACACCATGTAAGTGTGAGGGAAACAATACATGTACTCTGAATACACCATGTAATTGTGAGGAAATAATACATGTACTCTGAATACACCATGTAAGTGTGAGGAAAACAATACATGTACTCTGAATACATCATGTAAGTGTGAGGAAAATAATACATGTACTCATATAGCAGGTAAGGATAAGTACATACCTTTCTAGATATTGTATATTTGAATACATTTAGTATTGTGTGGCAGTAGTATTAACATTATATATTGATTTTGATAATTTACAATTTGTTTTCTGTGGCAGCAATTTTCAATGTATATATACATTCATATTGTTTTTGCGGCAGTAATATTCACTTTTAAAGTGTATTCTTATTGTTTTGAGTGGCAGTAATCTTCTATTTTTATTCATATTTCAGGCATAAATGGAAGCAGATTAACTATATGTAACATAACCAGGTATTGCTCTGCTATATACAGATGTTTTGTTACAAATGCCAAGGGAAACAATTCAATGGACTTCGATGTTACTGTCATACGTAAGAATCCTTTAGTAACGTTATATGTTATTATTAGCTTATCGTCCGTGAAATATTTGCTACTTACGTTAGGCAACCAACAATCATTTATTAGTAGCTTAGATTGTAATTAATTACTGGACGTTAGGCAACCAACAATCATTTATTAGTAGCTTAGATTGTAATTAATTAAGTGTCGCTTAGCAGAGATTGTGTCGCCTAGCTTAGGGTTTATCGCCTAGTTTAGGTTTTGTCGCCAAACAGGGGTTTTGCCGCCTCGCGGGTTACAGTATATGATGTAAAATGGGTACACAAACTTAATAATGTTTTCCAGAGCACAACCCAACATCCGTTTTCCGAGAGTACAAACCAATATGTGTTTCCATGAGCACAAACCATCATCAGTTTTCTTAGAGCCCAACCCAATATATGTTTTCCATGAGCACAATTCAACATGTGTTTTTAAAAAACATCAAATTTAAAATTGTCAGGTGTCATCTTATAGGAGTTATTGCCCTTGAATGACGATTTTTGTTTTACCCTTTTCCCTTTGTAAGTTTTTGGCAAAAACTATAGAAGATAGAGAGAGACTATACACAGAAAAAATGATCAGCAATACAAGATCGACAAAAAAGAGATTTTTGTCATGATTTCTATTTTAGTGACTAGTCCCAATGTTGGGGAAGGTCTGTTGAAGATGCACATAACTCATAGTTGAGCAACACAGACTCCTTAGTGGAGCCTCTAGTTTTTTTTCCTGCCTCCAACATGTATGAGTCTCATCGTAATAAAAAAATACATTATTCATGAATTTAGAAGTAAAGTGCTAATTTTATCAGAAGACGGAACTAAGTTGAAAAACTTGTGTCTAATCCATTTGTTTTGTACAATAAAATATGTTTAAACTATTGATTTATGTTGTATAAATGGAAAGCAAGATTAGGGTTACATAATTTTACATTTATTGTTTTTTTTTCTTCTTAATTATTGATAAGAGGACGGCATTATTTCTAATAAGTTGGGCCAAGTATTTTGAGCTTCTTTTCGGGAACTACCAGTATTCCTTGACAATGAGTCTTTAAGATTGCATATGGTTATTACCTGTAATCTCTGCTCATGACTGCTTTGAGCTTCATAAAAATTTTGATTAATTGATAATTTTGAATGAACCGGTAATTAAACGACAAATCATTTAACTTCAAAATCCAAAGCGAGTCAAGATTCAGAGATACCTACAGCAGTGTTAAGTTTGAAGTAATTTGATCTAAGCTTACTAGATCTACTGCATGACATTTAGAATATTACCATTTATTAATCTGACCGTCAAAGTTCCATAACTCTCGAATGACAAATCATAAAGTCATAAATTTTCCAAATCAAACGGTATTTCTGGTATGACATCACCAAAGAATTTTAAGATAAAAAAGAAGCTTTCTTCTGTTAATCTTAATGCTGCGTTAAAATTTTGTGGGAATTGGTTGAAGCAAATTTGAGTTTTTTCCCAGTAATCTTTGACGTTGATTGCGTTATGTATGATGTCGGTAGCTACCGGAATTATATGAACCTAAATTCTTTGAGCTTGCTGTTGGTTCCTAACGACATTAATTAATCTTGTTTCCCTTTTCGTGCAATGTTGTTACCTGTCTTTATACGACTTATAGTAGTTGATCGCACTATTTACTTTGATATTTTAGACAAACCTATGGTGAAGATAGAAGTGAACACAACAACCGACGATAACGTTGTAACCAAGGAACTCGTTGTTACCAAGGGAAACGTTGTAACCAAAGGAAACGATGTTAAGCTTTCAAAGAAGAAAAAAACTACGTTAGAGTGTATCATAAACGCTGAACCACGAACTGATTTTATTGAATGGTCAGTAGGGGAAAGACGCATTGGCTCCTGGAATAAAACGTTAGGATTCCCAGAAACATGTAAATCCTTCAAAAAACGTTACATGATTACGAAAGACGAACCAACTATTTTTTCTGAGCACGAGGTTCTCAAACTTCAAATACTAAAACCAACAAAAGATGATGTAGGAACCTTTAAATGTTCAGCATCAAACATTGTAGACTCACAGTCGGCTGAAGTGGAGATTGCTTAGGTTCCAGTCTGAATACACTTTGTAGTTGTCTGTATATAAGCATATTGAAGGGTCGTTAGACGTTAACGTTCAAATTGTTTAGAAACTATGCGAGATGTTAACGGCATGTTCCTTATTGAAAACAATATACTGACTAGCATACGTACAATATTGTTTCAGACTGAGATATTTTTGATAAAGATGTAAAAATATTATATATTTGACTTCACAAAGTGTTATTTGTTTGATCTATAGGATGTCCTTGGCTGTACGTAGATTGTTGTTCATGTGTTGGTGTGGATCTATAGGATGTCCTTGGCTGTACGTAGATTGTTGTTCATGTGTTGGTGTGGATCTATAGGATGTCTTTGGCTGTACGTAGATTGTTGTTCATGTGTTGGTATGGATCTATAGGATATTTGGCTGTACGTAGATTGTTGTTCATGTGTTGGTGTGGATCTATAGGATGTCTTTGGCTGTACGTAGATTGTTGTTCATGTGTTGGTGTGGATCTATAGGATGTCTTGGGTTGTAAGTAGATTGTTGTTCATGTGTTGGTGTGGATCTATAGGATGTCTTTGGCTGTACGTAGATTGTTGTTCATGTGTTGGTGTGGATCTATAGGATGTCTTTGGCTGTACGTAGATTGTTGTTCATGTGTTGGTGTGGATCTATAGGATGTCTTTGGCTGTACGTAGATTGTTGTTCATGTGTTGGTGTGGATCTATATGATGTCCTTGGCTGTACGTAGATTGTTGTTCATGTGTTGGTGTGGATCTATAGGATGTCTTTGGCTGTACGTAGATTGTTGTTCATGTGTTGGTATGGATCTATAGGATGTCTTTGGCTGTACGTAGATTGTTGTTCATGTGTTGGTGTGGATCTATAGGATGTCTTTGGCTGTACGTAGATTGTTGTTCATGTGTTGGTGTGGATCTATAGGATGTCTTGGGTTGTACGTAGATTGTTGTTCATGTGTTGGTGTGGATCTATTGGATGTCTTTGGCTGTACGTAGATTGTTGTTCATGTGTTGGTGTGGATCTATAGGATGTCTTTGGCTGTACGTAGATTGTTGTTCATGTGTTGGTGTGGATCTATAGGATGTCTTTGGCTGTACGTAGATTGTTGTTCATGTGTTGGTGTGGATCTATAGGATGTCCTTGGCTGTACGTAGATTGTTGTTCATGTGTTGGTGTGGATCTATAGGATGTCCTTGGCTGTACGTAGATTGTTGTTCATGTGTTGGTGTGGATCTATAGGATGTCTTTGGCTGTACGTAGATTGTTGTTCATGTGTTGGTGTGGATCTATAGGATGTCCTTGGCTGTACGTAAATTGTTGTTCATGTGTTGGTGTGGATTTATAGGATGTCTTTGGCTGTACGTAGATCGTTGTTCATGTGTTGGTATGGATCTATAGGATGTCTTTGGCTGTACATAGATTGTTGTTCATGTGTTGGTATGGATCTATAGGATGTCTTTGGCTGTACGTAGATTGTTGTTCATGTGTTGGTGTGGATGTATAGGATGTCTTGGGTTGTACGTAGATTGTTGTTCATGTGTTGGTGTGGATCTATTGGATGTCTTTGGCTGTACGTAGATTGTTGTTCATGTGTTGGTGTGGATCTATAGGATGTCTTTGGCTGTACGTAGATTGTTGTTCATGTGTTGGTGTGGATCTATAGGATGTCTTTGGCTGTACGTAGATTGTTGTTCATGTGTTGGTGTGGATCTATAGGATGTCTTGGGTTGTACGTAGATTGTTGTTCATGTGTTGGTGTGGATCTATAGGATGTCTTGGGTTGTACGTAGATTGTTGTTCATGTGTTGGTGTGGATCTGTAGGATGTCTTTGGCTGTACGTAGATTGTTTTTCATGTGTTGGTGTCGATCTATTGGATGTCTTTGGCTGTACGTAGATTGTTGTTCATGTGTTGGTGTGATATTAATTTTCAATACAATATGATATATGTATATAAATATAATAAAGTAGTTTGTATCTTCAGCTTACCGATGAAGATACAAAAAAAGAAAATCCTTTTCATTCCTCCTCAGTTATGGTTTTAAAAAAATTGGGCGTCTATATAAAAATAAGAAGATGTGGTAGGATTGCCGATGAGACAACCCTCGACCTGAGACCAAATGCATAACAGCCTTAATAGAATCTTTAGGGTTCCTCTGTAGAATTGTATAAACTGCAAACATAGCAGCAGTCATATAAAGACCCATATGATTAATCGACAATGGTCATTTTACCCAATGATCTGCTAATATTTTTATTGTATCATATAACTATGTACGACTCCAACTCCTGTGTTTATCATACAATGTAAGCCTCTCCTAAGTTTATTATACCATGTAGGCCTTTCTTGTGTTTATCATACCGTGTAAGCCTCTCCTGTGTTTATCATACCGTGTAAGCCTCTCTTGAGTTTATCATACAATGTAAGCCTCTCTTGAGTTTATCATATCGTGTAGGCCTCTCCTGTGTTTATCACACAGTGTTAGCCTCTCCTGTGTTTATCACACAGTGTTAGCCTCTCCTGTGTTTATCATACCGTGTAAGCTTCTCTTGAGTTTATCATATAATGTAAGCCTCTCTTGAGTTAAGCATATTACTATCAATAAGTGCAAAAATGACTACTTCCGGTTTCCTCAAGGTCACTTCCGGTTGACATTTTTCAAGGTCATATGTCGCCCAACATTTTGGAAAAGATTTTATGGATTTATCATGTACCAATTAGAAGTAATAATCAATTTACCATAAAATAATATATTTCAGGGGCAATAACTCCTATAATATGTCATTGGATTGTTTCAGACCTTATGTATCATATCTTCATCACAATAAAGCAAACATTTTGCACTAGTTTTAGTCGAGCCTGCGACTTTTGTCGCAGAAAGCTCGACATAGGGATAGTGATCCGGCGGCGGCGGCGTTAGCTAACTTCTTAAAAGCTTTATATTTTAGAAGGTGGAAGGTCTGGATGCTTCATACTTTGTATATGGATGCCTCATGTTACGAAGTTTCCGTCAGTCACATGTCCAATGTCCTTGACCTCATTTTCATGGTTCAGTGACTACTTGAAAAAAAAGTTAAGATTTTTTGTAATTTTAGATTCTCTCTTATTATAAGTAATAGGATAACTATATTTGGTATGTGCGTACCTTGCAAGGTCCTCATGCGCGTCAGACAGTTTTCACTTGACCTCGACCTCATTTCATGGATCAGTGAACAAGGTTAAGTTTTGGTGGTCAAGTCCATATCTCAGATACTATAAGCAATAGGTCTAGTATATTCGGTGTATGGAAGGACTGTAAGGTGTACATGTCCAACTGGCAGGTGTCATCTGACCTTGACCTCATTTTCATGGTTCAGTGGTTATAGTTAAGTTTTTGTGTTTTGGTCTGTTTTTCTTATACTGTATGCCATAGGTCTACTATATTTGGTGTATGGAATGATTGTAAGGTTAACATGTCTAGCGGGCAGGTGTCATCTGACCTTTACCTCATTTTCATGGTTCAGTGGTCAAAGTTAAGTTTTTGAGTTTTGGTCTTTTTTTCTAATACTATGTGCAATAGTTCAACTATATTTGGTATGTGCGTACCTTGCAAGGTCCTCATGCCCGTCAGACAGTTTTCACTTGACCTCGACCTCATTTCATGGATCAGTGAACAAGGTTAAGTTTTGGTGGTCAAGTCCATATCTCAGATACTATAAGCAATAGGTCTAGTATATTCGGTGTATGGAAGGACTGTAAGGTGTACATGTCCAACTGGCAGGTGTCATCTGACCTTGACCTCATTTTCATGGTTCAGTGGTTATAGTTAAGTTTTTGTGTTTTGGTCTGTTTTTCTTATACTGTATGCCATAGGTCTACTATATTTGGTGTATGGAATGATTATAAGGTGTACATGTCTAGCGGGCAGGTGTCATTTGACCTTGACCTGATTTTCATGGTTCAGTGGTCAAAGTTAAGTTTTTGAGTTTTGGTCTTTTTTTCTAATACTATGTGCAATAGTTTAACTATATTTGGTATGTGCGTACCTTGCAAGGTCCTTATGCCCGTCAGACAGTTTTCACTTGACCTCGACCTCATTTCATGGATCAGTGAACAAGGTTAAGTTTTGGTGGTCAAGTCCATATCTCAGATACTATAAGCAATAGGTCTAGTATATTCGATGTATGGAAGGACTGTAAGGTGTACATGTCCAACTGGCAGGTGTCATTTGACCTTGACCTCATTTTCATGGTTCAGTGGTTATAGTTAAGTTTTTGTGTTTTGGTCTGTTTTTCTTATACTGTATGCCATAGGTCTACTATATTTGGTGTATGGAATGATTGTAAGGTGTACATGTCTAGCGGGCAGGTGTCATTTGACCTTGACCTGATTTTCATGGTTCAGTGGTCAAAGTTAAGTTTTTGAGTTTTGGTCTTTTTTTCTAATACTATGTGCAATAGTTCAACTATATTTGGTATGTGCGTACCTTGCAAGGTCTTTATGCCCGTCAGACAGTTTTCACTTGACCTCGACCTCATTTCATGGATCAGTGAACAAGGTTAAGTTTTGGTGGTCAAGTCCATATCTCAGATACTATAAGCAATAGGTCTAGTATATTCGGTGTATGGAAGGACTGTAAGGTGTACATGTCCAACTGGCAGGTGTCATCTGACCTTGACCTCATTTTCATGGTTCAGTGGTTATAGTTAAGTTTTTGTGTTTTGGTCTGTTTTTCTTATACTATATGCAATTGTTCAACTATATTTGGTGTATGGAAATATTTTATGATCTATTTGGCAGTCACGCAGGTTTTATTTGACCTTGACCTCATTTTAAAGGTTCATTGCTCAGTGTTAAGTTTTGTGTTTTGGTCTGTTTTTCTTAAACTATAAGCAATAGGTCAACTATATTTGTTGTATGGAAGAATTGTTAGCTGTACATGCCTGCCTAGCATGGTTCATCTGACCTTGACCTCATTTTCATGGTTCATTGGTCAATGTTTAGTTTACTTGGTTAATGTTAAGTTTATGTGACAGTTGTAATAAAGCTTTATATTTAGGACTATCAACATAATATCAATGATTAGTAAAGAAGGCGAGACATTTCAGCGTGTGCACTCTTGTTTCATATATTAATAATAATATCTTAAAAAGTGTCAGGGAAAATGCAAAGACAAGCAAATGTCAAAATTGAGAACATGATCTTGACCTTGACCTCATTTTCTTAGTTAGGG